TTCTGTTATTGTTCCTTTCTTAATAAATACCGTATTAAAATTTGTTTTGAACATTCGGTTGTTTCTCAAAAAAATAAATAAATAAATAAATAAATAAATAAATAAATAAAAATAAATAAATAAGCGCCCTCCCTTGGGGCACCAAAAGTAAATAGGTGTCCCGGGCGTTAAATCGAATCATTACGGTTGGTTAGAAACTGAAGATGGCATAGAAAATCCCCATTTATTTTATTTTATATATTTATCACCAAAGGAAAAGATAAACGATATCTGTATCAGTAGGCCAGTTTCTACAGAACACTTAAGTTCCTCATTAAAATTAAACTGTGTGAAAGGTATCTAAATTATGCAAACCTAAACTTACTTTCAATAAAGCCTATACAATAAACATTACACCCATAAAAAAGATAAAATATAAAATATAGAATATAAGATATTCAAAACTAGAGAAAATAAACTAATATAACATATTATATGATAGAAATAGTTTACACAGAAAAAGCAATGACTTTTTGAAATGTTTTGTCATCGATGGCACAAGTTTATGGTCATTAGCCTGCGAACATAGACGTATTTCCGGCTGTCACTTGGTTCCGCCGAAAAATAACGTCTGCGAACACGAGCCAGAAAACGATTTCTGTGACGTAGTAGTTCTAAGCCAATCACAGTTTAGCTCAAATAACCCCAGAACTACTGCGCGCGGTATTCGCTGCGAGGAGCACTCGAGTTTCAGTCTATCATGGAATCTAATTGGCCAAGGAGAAACAGAAGTCATTACGTCACAGAAATTTTCTGGCTCGGGTTCGAAGACGTTATTTTTCGGCGCAACCAAGTGACAGCCGGAAATACGTCTGCGTTCGCAGGCTAATTGTCATTGGCAATCTGTCTGAATGTTATCTGTTCTTTGTTGTTTTGGTTACCTCAAAAAATATTACTTCATTAATTTTATGCCAAAAATTGTACGCATCAGAAACACCCGGATTTATTACTACTATTCGTGAGAAGCTGTCAACCAACTTGTGTAAAACTAATTCCATTCAATATTGAATGGTGCCCATTTATTAGATTTACATGACTTTACAATAAAAGGGCAATCTAATTAAAACCTAATCGCTAATCAAAATCCCGGGTTGATAGCGAATTTAAGAACTATCTATATTACAGTAAAAAGAAACTCTGGAAATTGTCCTCGTTCAACGCTAGTCCCATTGCTACTCTCAGTACTTTTCTGAAAATTAAATCTCACTCCTGAACATAGCACAGATTTTCTACCATCTACACCAAAACAAGAATTGGCACCACAGATGGAAGCTTCAATCCGGTAGAAGCCGCCCTTCTTTATCACAACTGGACGGCCAAAGAAAATATTGAAGCCGTAGTAGGAAACTAGGTCTGATGACTGGATACACACAGAAGAGAATTTTCCTGATTTGGTACAAGGAAAACTACGATCAGCCAAATTTTTTATCGTAATAGCCACAGAATAATCACAATCTTTGCCTCCGCAGAGTGTTACTCCAAGTAAGGAGATGTCTTTGTCGACCACAAAAAGAAGACAGTCTCTTTTATCACCTGCATAGAGATAACCCGAGTCATTGTGAACCACGGAACCAAATCTGCGACAACGTTGAAAGGAGTCCTTAAAACTAATTCTCTTCTGCTCGGAAAATCCTACTTGAGTGTCCGGAACTGAATTAAAATATTTAACTATGCTAAAAGCCTCGTCTTGTGTCAGTATCTTGCAGTC